GATGATGATGACAATGATGATGATGATGATGACGATGATGATGATGATAAATATGGGAATGACGATGACGATTAGGGTGACGATGATGGCAGTTGAAAAAAAGTGAAAATATTATTTTCATCATCATCATCATTGTTGTTGCTCTTATTATTGTTGTTGTTATTATTATTATGACGTCATCGTCATCGTCGTCAGGATCATCCGGATCCGCTGGAGTCGACGTCACTCCTCAGTAACTCCATACCAAAGATATTCAGCGCTGTCACTCAGGTGATGATGGTGATAGTGTTGATGATGATGATGATGGTGGTGACGATGATGATGGTGGTGACGATGATGATGGTGGTGACGATGATGATGGTGATGATAATGGTGACGAAGGTGATGATGATGGCGATGGTGACGATGATGGTGGTGATAATGATGATTTATTATTATTATTATTTTATCAGTCCAATGAGAGATGCTTAGCTCTGACGAATGGCGTCGTATACATTCCATACCTGGAAATGGTTAAGGTTGTGATGATGATTTTTTTTCATTCTTTCGTTCATTCGTTCGTTCACTCAGTCTTACATTCATTCAGCTGTTCGTCCATTCATTCTTTGGTTCATTCATTCAACATTTGTTTATCCATCCATTCGTCCATCCAGCCATTAATTAATTAATTCATCCATTCCATCATTCATTCATCAATTCACTCATTTCATCATTCATCCATCAATTCATCCATTCATTCACAGGAATTCTTGAGGTCATATTTGAAAGAGTTGAAGCGGGTGATGATGAACATATTCGAGAAATTCAATCGCGATGTCATAGTTGAAGACTGGTCGGATTTTCAGAATGCCTTGAAAGTCATCCAGCTATGCGGTGTGTGTTCGTGTGTATGTGTGTGTTCGTGTGTATGTGTGTGTTCGTGTGTATGTATGTGCGTGTTCGTGTGTATGTATGTGCGTGTGTATGTGTAAGAATCTATAAAGTCTTAAACTTAATCCTTCTAAATTTGAATTAATTTGTTTCAATAAATCTAAGCTCTCTATTGCTATTTCTCCTATTATCTTACCTGATTCTAAAACTCTTGGTGTTTCTCACAAGTTTCGTAGTCTAGGCTTTATCTTTGATTCTACTGTGTCTCTTTCTTCTCTGCTAGAAGTTGGCCTTTTTTTGACAATCCTACTCTTCTCCTTCTTGTTACTTTAGTTTTATCAAGGATTGATTATTGTAACTCGCTCTACTATGGTCTTCCTGATTCTACACTGTATCCTTTATGTACAGCTTTCAACTCTGCTGCTCGTCTAGTTGCTTTCTTTTCTCATATATCTCCATATCTTGTTCTTTTGTTCACTGGCTACCTATAAAATTTAGAATAATTTTTAAAATCTGCACGTTTGTGTACAAGTCTCAATCTAAATTCTTTCCTAAGTACTTATCAGATATAGTAATTGAACCTAAACGCCCCGCTTTACGATCGTCATCTTGTTCTCACTTCTTAACTCTTTTTACTAAATCCGCATTTACTTTTTCTGGCTTTTTTTTCTGGAACTCTCTACCTCCTTTCTCTGACTACTTCTCCATCACTTACAGAGTTCAGATCTCAAGACCCATCTGTTTGCAAAATTCATTGAGGAGCGCTGTTGAACTCGCGGAAATAGCGCTTTATAAACTAATTGATTGATTGTTGTAGTGGTAGTTGTTGTGGTAGTTGTTGTGGTTGCTGTTGTTGAGAGTGATGATGACGTCATTTTTTTGTCTGCTATCCAGGTGAATTGATCGCACACATGGACGAGTTGGACCTGCTGCTCACTAGCTGCGTCGTAGCTGTCGGCTGCAATAGCAGCAGCGGCAACAACCACAACAATATTAATAATAACAGCAACAACATGTCACAACAACAGTTAGTGTATATATGACAATTATGGCTATGTTGATGACTTTAATGATGGTGATCGTAATGTTGATGATGAGGAAGAAGAAGAAGATAATGATGATGACGAGTAGAATTTTATTATTATTATTTATTGCATAAATATAAAAACACAGATTGGACAGAAAGAAGTTTGCATTCAAAGATTATAAATCGTATCTAATGGACAGCAGTGAAGAACGCAAGAAGTTGGAACAACTGATTGATCACTTGATCCAAAGTCGGTTTGTTGTTCTTTGTCGTTCATTTATTAATTTATTTATTCAATCAATCATTCATTCATTCATCTATACATTCATCCATTCAACTGGATGTTTCAGCCAGTGTGCATCATTTATTCATTCATCTACCCACCCGCCCATCCACCAATTATTTATCCATCCATTCATCCATCTATTCATACATACATTCGTTCATTCATTCATTCATTTCTTCAGACGATACGGCTAGCGTTCTTAGTACTGCGAAGGCCGAATCGTATAGCGTGTGTAAGATGGTCCACAAGCTATCTTACGATATCGTCTTCAACCCTCTGAAACGTCATTTCGTCACGTTACCACAACTTCCGGTTTTGATAATGATTGTTGTACGATTGTTGGTGATGATGATGATGATGGTTGTTGGGATGATGATGATGATGGTGGTAATGATGTAGGTAGATGATGTTGATGGTGATGATGATGACGTTTTCTATCCAGTCAGAGATATTTCATCATTTCATAACACAACCTCCCGTTATGATGATGATGATGATGGTGATAGTTGATAATAATAACAACAATAATAATAACAAAAGCAACAATAAGAA